TTAGTGGCTATAATTACAGAATTAAAATTTGTTGAACAGGGTGAAGTATACTGTTGTTCAGTGGTGTGTGTAAACAGGACCTTTGACGGTACTCAGATTGCTTGTTGAATTCAAAAGGATAAAGCATCATCAGCTTGAAATATTCTCTCCTTGTATGTGGTGTTTCAGCTTATCTTTTTCTTTACACGCAAAATGCTTTTAGTTATGGAATCACTCACGCTTAAACAGTGATGGTGCTGTGCTTATTCAAACAATGAATATTCAGGTCCTGAATTTATACTTTGTTTTTCCCATTTTTTAACAAAAAGGGGTTCTTTTTGTTTGTTTGACTTTCGCTTGTTTGTTTGTTTGCTTTCTTATTTTGTGTCATAGGAAGAAGCATCTATGGAGAAAGGTTTCCAGATGAGAACTTCAAGCTCAAACACTATGGAATTGGATGGGTTAGCATGGCTAATTCTGGCCCAGACACCAATGGATCCCAGTTCTTCATCAGCGTGACAAAGCCTTCCTGGTTAGATGGAAAACACGTAGTCTTTGGCAAAGTCCTTGATGGAATGGTAAGCTAAAAGTAGTGTCAAGATTAATCCAAGAAAATCTGGACAAATTCTGCTGCTTTGTATGTAATGGTGTTTGTAGCACCATTGTGGTTGAAAACAATAAGAGTGTTTATCTAATATGTACATGGTAGAAGATGACTGTGAAGACCCTGGAGCTGGACAATTTGGAACTGGGATAGATGGAATGGCGACTGCAGAAATGGAAACTTAAATCATGCGGTTGGCTTCCACAGCTCTTGCTTCAGACCACTAACCACTGAAATCAGCACTGACACCTGTGCAGATTACAAATGGGATAAGTTCAGGTCCCTCTTTCACTAATGCTGTTAGCCATGAAATAATTGTATTTCTACAAGCTAAAATCTAATTTTGTAGCATGTGCTAGTTATAGATAACACTTTCACAGGGGTTTTAGAAGCATGTGAAGTATACAGACACGTATATTCAGATCTGTTTAAAAAGGAAAAAAAAATCTTGTTAATTCCCTGAAACTGTACACAGCTGCAAACTGATCAAAGCCAAATAGAATTTAAGTTTAAAAATGGCATTTCCAACAGATTATACTTTTAGTAGTTTGGTTTTCCTTTTAAACTATTCCATGTAATCTGTGTTTTGAAATGAATGGGGGAAACATGAACTGCTGCACCACTGTTTGAGGAATTTGAAAACCTGATCAGAACCCTTGCGTGTTCCTCCCCCTCCCTTCATACTGAATCCATTTTTCATGAGCTACAGTAGTAGCTGAAGATGTCTGAGGAGACACTTAGGCTAAGTTACAGTTTAGTTAGATTAATGGACAAATGTCCAAAGCCAGGTAGTCAGTATTCCTAACTGAATTTTGTCCTTCAAAAATACTACTTTGATGAGTTGCCCAGCGTGAGGCTGGCAGTTTACCTGTGCCTGTCTGACTGGAGGGCATGGTACGACACTTAAAATCTGTGGGTGTTATCCTAAATATAGCAGCAGTCATCAGATCTTTTGAAGCACAGTTACGCTGTATGGTTAGAAAAATAATTACTGCTTTATCCTTTATGAGTATGGACTTTATGTCCTTAAGAGGTCTTTTCCAGCCTATGATTCTGTGATCTCTGGGTTCACTGTCTACTCATAGACCACAGATAGACCCTGCATGTGCTAGGCCCATCAGCTGAAAGGGTATTTTCAGTTGCCCCTGCATAATGTTTTTGTTGGCTGAAAGTTTTGATAGAAGGGGAAACAGCCTTCCACATGCTTCTGTCAACTGTGTGTGGGTTGCAGAGTGGCACAACTGTTAAAGTGGGGGGAAGAAAAATGGCATGTGGGAATTCAACAGGGTAAAGGTTGTTGTTCAGAAGTTGCTTAATAAATAGTAACGCTGGGAGCACTTAGTTGTTTACCTGGTACCAGACTTGAGCCACTGAAGTTTCCTTGGCTAAAATGAACTCCTTTTTTTTTTTTTCACAGTCTGTGGTGCACTCAATAGAACTCCAGCAGACAGATGAACAGGACCGGCCCCTTCAAGACTGTGTGATTGTGAACAGTGGCAAAATAGCTGTAAAAGAACCATTTGTAGTTGAAGTAGGCGACTGGTGAGACCAACAATCAGAATGGAAAGCAAAACTTAATCACTTTAAGGGCCTGTTTTTGACCGATCTTAACTATCCACTGAGTTTTCTCCCGAAAACATAAGAAGGCTAGATTTAGACAATGCTTACATTTGCCAAATACATAAAAGATATGTTGATTTCCATAACAACTTGATGGAGCTGTCACTCCTTGAAATTCAAGACATAGTCTGCTAAATCCTAGATCTTGCAGAAAAAGTCTTTCACGAAAAATTTTAGAAGTACTTCTATTTTTTCAAGGTTTGAAATACAGTCATTTTGTTATCTTTGGAAATTTTTGCAGTATTTGTTTCTGCCTTTTCAACTGAAAATATTATTTTCTGTAACAAATCAGCATTTTTAAAAATTAAAAAAAAAAAGTAAAATACAGAAGTGTTTTGAATAAATAAACTTTGTTTTCAAATAAATACTTAATGAAGAGCTTTTTATCCCCCTGGCCATTTTTCTGACGTCAGGTGATTCTGCAAAATATGTAGGGGGTGCTGCTTTCTAGGAAATGAGGTTGTAAGGTGAGAGCAGGGGTGGTAAATTTCTCTAATCATAATGTGTCAGATAAAGTCCCCGCTGTCCTTCAAAAAACAACAGTGTTCAGATACAACCCTGTAATCAAGAAAGAGTGGCGCTGTCTGTTGTTAAGTAAGATCTCAGATTAAAACAGAAGAGTTCCTTGTTTCACAGCACAGTGAATTCTGTAGCATGCAGCTAATGTTATTTATGGTAAAGCTCAAATGCTCTTCCTTGCAGTTCTGCTGTATGTCAGAGATGCAACTTTAGGCTCATTATTTTTGTAACGCTTCTCAAGTAGCTCTTCAGCTGACAACTTAACTGGTAGCTTTTAAACAAGGTCAGCGTAAGGTACAGCTTGGGGAGCGCTGTATTTGATGGGCTCGTTAACGAGTTACGTTGTGCTCCCAGGGTAGAGATGCGGGTTGTTTCTGCCGAGTTTCCAGTGGTTTAGCTTTGTGTGGTGACTAGTTTCCTGGAGGGTGTCCTGGAGCCCCGGAGATGTCCCCAGACGTTGCATGGCACCGGGGAAGAGAGAGCAGGACAGCGCAGAGCTTGTGGGTGGCTACGCAAAGGAGCAGGAGAACGCTGTGGGCAGGGTTTTACCTCGGGGCCTCCCAGCGTGTCGTTCATAGCTACAGGGGTGCTGCTTCTGGTTCACTGGCCGCAGCCCCGGCGGGAAAGACTGACGCTTTTTCTCAGAGACCTGTGAAAGTATTACTGTCCTCTTTTAAAACAGAGCCAGAGGAGAACTTGTCAAGGGCCTCTAAATTTGTACTAGGCAATCAGAGTGCCATTTTAGGCGTTCGGTTTTCTTTCTACTAACTGTTTAAAGTAAAATTCTCTGAAAAGCAGCACTGGGAAGCAGTTAGGAAGTGAGAGCGAGAGTATCTCAGACTCCCTCGCCCGAAGAGCTTTCCGCTAGTAGCTGAAAGCTTTCCTGGGGGTGGGTCCCGCAGGCGGTGTGGAGCTCTGCTACCTGAACAAGTTCCGCAGCCACAGGCCTACCTTCTGTACAAGTCTCAGCTTTTCACCACCCCCAAGCAGCTTTAAAACAGAGGCAGCTGTCGGCAGGAGGCAACCCATGCGTCTCCAGGGTCAGACCTCCGCTTGTGGCTAGCTTCGCTGTTACTGCTGCAGTGCAGCACCCTCTTCTGTGAGAGCCCAACAGCTTCCTGAGTTTTTCCCCCCAAGACACAAGCCTCGCGGGTTCAGATAGCGTGGGGCTGAGTTTTAAGTGAGCAGACACCCCGGTATTTTCTCATGCTTCGTGTGGAGATACCTGTAAGACCTGTCGCTGATGACACAGGCTCAGAGAAGTGGCTTGTTTGAATAGGAACGCACAAAAAGCACACTGGAGCGGTACATTCATGTTCTAGTAATTTATTTTGTAATGTCCAGTAGCACACATACAAATTTCCAGTTAAATCTGAACAAATACATATATAGAGGTGTATATATATGTATCAGTTTTAGCGTTATCATTTTACTACTTAATCGTATTCTTGCTTTAGCTTACCACAGAGCTGTATGCTCTGTGACTTATAAAATGTTAAGATATGGAATACAGTTTGCAAGTTGTCCTGAAGAGTAAACATACACTCAGATTAGATGTCATAACTGAATGGAGGTGCACAAATGCCATGTAAAATCTCCTGGTAGACAATTTCAAATGAAATCTAGAAAATTTCCTGAGAGACTGCTATGTATTTCAGAATGTGGAAGCATGTTTTCCAGTAGAAACTCTCCAAACACCTGCACTGCGCTGCACTGGCTCTTTTCCAACTGGATATTAAGGAGCAGATTAAAAATAATTTAAGAAAAATGAACAAAATACTTAAAGTTGCTTTCAGTTTCTTCCTGCTTCACTTTTTTTTTTGTTTTTTGGCAATTTCTTGCACACTCTCTTCAGTGCCAGCACTTTTAATCCATCCACTGCCAGCAATGGGTAATATGCTGGGAAAAATCCTGGTGCAGAAAAGTTTAGTGTAATTTAGTATAGAAATAATAGAAACAATTAGTAAATCTTTCCTTTCAAAGGTTAGTGTAATTCAGTGTATGACTTTCAGCTTTTAGTGTTAAATAGTTAGAGGATGTCAATATATAGAAGGTATAAATAACTTCAATACTGTTGTTTCCATATCTTTTTTTTTTAAAAAGCAGCAATTGTAGTGACATTGATTTTATTTAAAAAGACATAACACTTGAACTTAAAACTAAGGCTGTGCCTCTTGCTTCTGAGCGTAATTTTGACATCACAGAATTTCACTCCTGTGAATTCCACTAAACACGACTCGGTAGACTTGATTCAGCTTCTTCTAGACACGCGTCGCTTCTACCTGGGCAGTAAATGAGGATAAAATATCCCATGTAGAATGCCTTCTATAACTACATTTGGAAAGTCATCTGAAAAACAAGGGAAAAAAGAAAAAAACCTTGCTTTCTTACCTGTCAGAACGATGTAAATGTTTTTGTGAAGCTGAAATAGGTAAGGCCTCGTATAATTTGGGTTACTGCATCACTCAACTGTTTGTCCGTGCTGGGGATGTGCTATCAGTAATGCTGTTTCAGCACTACAGCCACTTTAGTGTAGCGCTGGGCATTGCATGAATGCGCTGCCAGATTTGTAGCTTATTGATTTAAAGGGATGTTCTAATACTTAATGTTGCTAGGCTCCAGCTCTTTATCTGAATCTTTTCTCACAAGGAAGATGGATTACACTGGCAATTCAATTTCTAACAAACTCTCAATATACTTGAAGGAATTCCAAGACTGCTACTGGGAATACTTCAAAGCTGTTTTTCCATTGTGGTTAAAGCAGTGTTTAGACGCAGAAGACTTGAGGATGCCTGTGCAATCAGAAACGATTATCTGAGGCAGGAAAATTTCAGGCTGTCTAATCAACACAAAATGCCATGTGTTATAGAAAGTCATCCTATAATATCTGAAGGAAGAAACCCCACTATGTTCTTACCACAGATGTAGAGGAAGATGGCACGTAGTTTTCCTGTTAAATTTAGCATGAAAGAGGTACCTGACAAAACACAGTAGGAATGGCAGGATGTACATTGCTGAAGTGAAAACATCTTTCACATGCACCAACTCCTGCGTTTTTAATGAGGGGTTTACTTAAATCACTGGGCATTAAGAGTAAGAATTTCTGATCACATCGTCTTAAAATTGCTAGTACACTAGGAAAGGGGTTTGCTTAGAAGAACAGGCTATTTCTGATACAAAACTTTCCACAGTAATAAATCTTTCCTTCACCTATCAGCCTACAGGATATTCAGAAAGGGGAGATGCAACTTTTATAAAAATCATTCGACGCCTGATAATTGGATCACCTAATGTGAGTGGGGATTAGGTTTTGCTCCTAATTCTTTTGTTAAAATCATTTTGGAGGTAAAAACATTGAGCAAAAAGTAGACTTGGACTCAGTAAGAAAAAATAATCCTTACTAGCTTAGAGGTGTCATCTCATTGGTATTAATAAGGTGATTCCAGTGTATTAAAGATGTTACAAACAGAGGCATTTTAGGACGTTTTAACAAACCACAGCATCCACCATAAACAATACATGTATAATTGTCCCCAACTTCTCATAGCAAGTCATCATTATAAAGCACTTGTTAATATTTTTAATCCAATAATGATTCCTTGAGTCCTGCAAGCTCAGCTAGCCCATATCACCCTGGTAGAATAACTGTATGCCGTTGTCATTAATGTTATTAAAAATACTCTTCTAAGGGCAATCTGATACTTTCCTTCTAAATTAAATGCTGCAGTTCCAGAAACCAGTTTTTACTGGTTCTTCTGTAACTTACAGTATATATATATAGGAAAATGACTATTGATTTAAAAAATGATACAACTTTACAGCATCAGAATTACTGTGAGGCTTTGTTGCTTAAAAAATTCAAGCATATTAATTTAAATGTATAAATACACCGAAGCACAGTCTTGCAGATCTGTGATACTTACATGGCCTAAAGAATTGTCAGAACAATTTTCAAACAAGAGACAGCAAATCTGAGATTCCATTTTTTAGCTTCTGAGGTATAATTTTCAATTTGAAGCATTTTACATTTTTCCTTCATTTTTCTTCAAAATAGTAATTTTTTTTTCCCACACACTCAAAAAGAAGTGGCCACATTACACAAAAAAATGATATGCACATGCAATTAGACTGTCTTAGATACATCATGAAAAAGTGAGTCTGAAAATCAATGAGTTTTAGAATTGTGAATCTTATTTTTGGGAAGTCGTCTTGCAGCTCAACAATGCTTAAAGTCCAGTTGTTAGAACAACGATAACATTATGTTTTATAAAGACAAGTAACAGTGCAATGAGGGGAAAAAAAATGTTCTTCGAGCATTATGTTCCAGAAACAACTATTTATTTCATTAAAAACCCACAAATACACAATTTCCTATCATGCAGCTGTCACAGATCACCTTCTTCAAGGTTACTTACTTTCGATCATAGTTTGAACAACCTTGGCTGCTTTTTACAAAGGAATCAGTCTATCAAAGAAAGAACCGATCTGAGATAGAAAATTTTAGAAAGCTCATCTCTATTTTCTCTGTGCTGCAAACTAAAAGGGAAGAAGAATTAAAGACAATGGTAGTTGTGTAAAAACTTTGTTTCTTTCTAAGTAGACTCGAATCAGCTAGCAGAGCCTCTAGACTTACAACTTGGTTTTCTTCTTCCTTTTATAAACTACAACTCACATTCTAATTTGTGTTTTAATTCATTAAGTTAAAGAACAACTTGCAAATGAGTTTTATGTTTTAGGGTCTTCAAATACAAAGAATATTCACCTGCCATATGAAATTCTAAATATTGTGTGTCAAGGCCAAAAAACGACGTGGCAAAAGCCTGAAGAGTCCTTTGTTTCAGATGTCATTAATGAGGCCTACTTAATACTTCAACATGTCACGCATTAGAAGAGGCTTTTATCTTAATCCAAGCAAAGCACTACTTAAAAGAGTAGTTACAACATTCATTATAAAGTTCCTAATGATTTCAAGAAAAGGAAGCTTAGCCTTACTTGGAGTACACGTTAAGAGAGGAAGATAAATATCATCACACAACTGCAAAATCTTGAATGGAAGTCTTACAGCAAAACCTTCCATGTGGGCTGGGAACATTTAGCACTGTCTTAATTTTTCAGGGTAACTGTATGTGAAATCCATTTTCTCTCTCAGGAATGGTATGGAATTAAATGATGTTCATAGTTTACACCCTGCTCTCGTGGCATCCAAGTTTGCAATTAAGAGGAGCATTAAACAGTAAGATTAAGACGTACAATATGGCTCACTCTAGGCAGCATCTGGACCAGCTTTTAGACAGAGGTAACTGTGGGTGCTGCTGCATCACTGTTGTCACTTGGGTCAGGAGTGACCTTGTGAAGCAACCATCTCCCATTGCTGTGCTTCAGTTCATCGACTTTGTGATTTGCACTCCAGCCTCAAACGGGCATTCAGCCTGCCTGACCAGACTAGTGCCAAGTCCAAGTAAAAACCACACGACCCTGTAACGGGTCTTCTAATGTGGACCCTGGTCACACAGGACCTCTGCACTCACTGTTTCGCTCTAGAACCACAACTGTAAGTTCAGTAAGACTCCATAGGGTCGATAGTGTTGGGCCATACTAATAGCTGGAGTGGACATTGCTTGCAAGAGAGACTATTTAACCCTCTCACAACACACGAGTCTAGTCCCAATGGTTTTGAAAAACAGCTTGAAAAAACAACAGAATCACAGAACAGTTGCAGCTGGAAGAGACAAATGGTGGTCATCTGTTCCAACACCTGCTCAAGCAGGGACACCTAGAGCTGGTTGCCCAGGACCACGTCCAGGCAGCTTCTGAGTATCTCCAAGGACAGAGACTCCACTACATCTCCGGGCAACCTGTGCCAGGGCTCGGTCACCCTCACAGCGACAGAGTTTTTCCTGATGCTCCTGTCCTGCCACTGTGTACCACTAAAAAGAGCCTAGCTTTGTCTTCTTCACACCCTCCCTTTAGGCACTTATAAACACCTTGAGAAAATCTCAAGGAAGTATACTTCATTGGCTAAGAAACTCCAAGCAGATAAGTGTTCTTCCCTAAATTTACTCTTAAAAATTTCATGATTTTCAAGGCAGCTCAAGAACCTGACTCTTGATTTGAGGACAGTATTTTGTAAAATCAAACAAAATACCACATTAAAAAAAAAAAAAATTTGCAGCTCTGGGAGAAAACTCTCGCTTGAAAACAAACAACATTTTTAATACAAAATTTAGTAGAAGTAACAGTGTAAACAAGCAAAATGACAAAACCAGGAGGAACACACTACTAAAATGGTATATTTTTACCTGCACACATTTAATTTAAGACAGAGGGTAAGTTCTCTGAATTAATAATGCAAAGAAATAAGGGTTTATAACAAGCTATTTCAAACACTCTTTTGACCCATGTATTAAAAGATGAAGGCTAACGTAAATGTCCTGTGAAACACATCAATTACACAGTAATAATCCAAATGGAAATACAAACATGCTTGCAGCAGATCGACTGGTGTTTAGTGAAAAAGCACTTACAAAGGGCTGCGCCTCTAAGTTCAAATCCTTCAAGCAAAACAGCCCAAAGGGTCAACAACAAGAAAAGCAATGTTCTTCATCTTTTGATTTGAATTCTCAGCAGGTTTGTCTGAGGGAACAACTGGGGGAGAAGATCCCACGCTTTTATAAATCACCCACCCCACTTAGTGTTTTAATGGTTTCTTACACAAGAACTATCATTTTATTGGCAGGTTATTAGATTTTGGACCACTGTCATTTGACTAGGTCGGTATTAATAATAATGTGGTTTATGCGGTGCAGGGTCAGATCAGTAAAGCACTGTTAACAGATGACAGGTTTGATTACCGTTGGCTTTAGGCAAGACATATGGATCCCTTAGGAACAGCAGCACAGGCTGGTGGGACAGTTTGCTGGAAAGGTCAAGAACAGGGATGTCAGTATCAAGGGACAGCAAACAGAATATTCTACAAACTAGCTTTGATAAAGCAAGGTGGCGGAGCCGCACAGGAGCCATGCTGGTGTGTTTCTGCACGCCAGTGCTGCCCAAGAAGGGCAGGGTCTATCTCCTGGGACCAAAGCTCGCCGCTCCTCAGCCACACCGTGAAACTGTCAACATGATGTTGGAGATGAAGGGGCTGCATCCAGGAGGGGCGGCTTGCAGCTGGCTTTGAGACCCTGGTCCTGCTCTGCTGTTTTGTATCGGTGTAATGTGGGCTGCTCCTATGGCCAGGCTCCATGGTCTACAGGCTCTTCAGGCCACCAAACAGACTCAGAATTTCACCACACTCTTCCAGCCACTGAAGCGGTTGCTCTACACCTCACCCATGGGGAGAAGGTCCTTGGAGACCCCTCACAGGGCTGTCTCCCACCCTGGTGATGGTAGAGACATCCTCCCCCAGCCAGCACCAGCCCTCTCTGCTCTGCTCTGTACGTAGATGTGCCAAGCAGCGTGACCACTTACATACAAAGCTGTACCAAATGCGCATAGAATCATTCAGGTTGGAAGAGACCTCTAAGATCATCACGTCCAAGTAGGGGAGAACCCGAATCTCTAATTCCTTCTGCTAAACCTTCATGCTATGAAAAATACATTTCAATGGGTGAAAAACATTCCCAGAAATATTTCAGAGGTAGCAGTGTTCTATCAGGGTTTTGTAAGGAATTTCTCAATACAAGCATAAGGATGCTCATTTCACACTACAAACGGATGGATATAGCACAGCTGATGTGAACTAGCCATAAAATTTAACAAACACATCTAGTTTTAATGCCAAACTACTGCTATTTTGTCAACTGCAAGGAACAAGTACAGTAAACGCCAACAAGTTCAAGTAGTTTATTAATGTGGTATCCTAGAAAGAGTAGGAATCAAGCTCACCTTGATTCTTCAGATTCTGTTTCATCAAAAGAGCTGCAAGTAAAGTGAGAGGAAACTTTGGTTACAACAAAATTAACTCTATAATTAAAAAAAAAACCCAAATCCTTTACAAACCACCAAAGGGAGCAACATTTTACTGGTCAGTAGCTGCATAATGCAGTGTGATGAAATCAGTGTGGGAGACAGCGTCATTTCACCACCATGTGGAAATGGCAGCATCCGTTTTACTGTAACAGATTCACAAGCACATCTGTCCACCTATCTGTGAAGTGATGGGGTACAGTCCCACAGAGGTTACTGGCTGATGTCATCAATTACAAGTGAGAACCACAAGCCTGTTAGATTCTGAATCGCTCTGGAGACTGCCCTAGGCCACAGACACCTCTGAGTGTAAGAGGGCCTCAGAATCATCTCCACTTTTTTCAACTTGCCCTCATTCCACTGCAGATCTACATAGCTGCCCCAAAGTGGAAAAGGGCCACGTAGCTTTCTGGGGAGCAAGTTCTGGTAATGCTGCTGGACTGTCCACTACATCAGCTTGCACAGCACAAGAAATTATTCTCCCTACAAAGCTTATGGCAGCAGGTGGTAACAGAGCTTCCAGTTACACTGTTTTGGGTATTTCTGTAGTTGTTACACTTATCGTACCAAGATTCCCTTCTCCCACCCTGATGAAGAAGGCTTCCCAGGGGAAGGGCAATGGGGCCACTGGGGTAGATGTCATCAGAAAGGTGAAAGACCCCATTTTCAAACACATGGAGATCATAAAAGATCACAGAATTAACTTCTATTTTGTGCAGATACTGTGACCATAGAACACATGCAAAGGCTTTCTATACAACTTTAGTGAGTGTTTATGAATTTCTTACATTTCAGTAGGTACCTCAAGATCTATGAGAAAATCATATTTTTCTCATCTAAACTCTCCTTTGCTTTCCAAGAATATTACATTAAACTTCACTTCTGTCTTTGAACAGGCTGGATTTATTTTACCACTTTTTGGGGATATATAAACATATTTAACATGAACCTAATGCCCATTTATTTTACAGTGTTAGAGTTGGCAGCAAGACCATTTTAAGTCAATGGAATTGCATCAGCGCTGAGTGGATATAGGCCTTTTGGCCTCCATGTATCTTTCAGTAGATGAGAGCTTACCCACAGCTTTCTGCTTTTGGCAAGGCAGGTACGTGGCGGACGTTCAGGAAATCAAGAAATATTTTAGGGAGCTCTTCATTTTCTAGAATGACTGTCTACAAAAAAAAAACCACGCACAATAGAAAACCAAGATTTTGTAATATTTTAGCTGTCACACACTTTTATTCAAAGCATTTCCCACTTGCAACACTTTTGAATTCTTCTCTATTTTGGAGTGCTTCATTTCAATACAAAAACCACAGTTCTTAATGAATCACATATAAACACATTCAGCTTATGCCACTACATTCTTTTTCACCTGCCATCACTGGTGCCAAGCTAGATGCCTCTCAAGCAGCGATGTCTGATTCTGGAACTAAGTTATTGACACGCTCATTTGTGAATAAAATTCTGTTTATTTAAAACATAAAGCAGCTTCAGCTCAGTGCTTTTACATTCATCTCACAGAAGACTTCTGTCTGGCACATCAGTGGAAGAAGGAAGTCTCCACTTTGTGCAATTTTATTAATGCTTGCATTGGTAAACGCTAACGAGGGAAACTCTTTGCTTGGCTTGACAGATCAGCTTACAACGTACTTCTCATATCTGTGCTGTGACTCCTGATGACAAAGCTCTGACCAAAGAGCGGCTGGCTAGGCCTGTCACATTCTTCCACAGCAATGACATAATGGCCGGACTCTGTTCTCCTTTGTTTTTCCATTGATGAGATGATTTACAATCTTCAGTAAATCAATTACAAGTACACTTAAAAATATGTAGCAAATAAATGAGAGGCTTAGGTGCATCTTCATCATGAAAGAATGATTTTTAAAGGAAACAATAGATCTCTGACAGTTTCATAGAAGCAGTCCAAAAATAACCCCTGATCTTTAATTTTCATGAGGCAAACAAAACAGTTCATAAACTCAGCCATTGTCTCACCTGAAAGATTAAGCCGTTAGTTATTTACTGTTCATACTGCCATACATCCTGATGACACACATACTTCACATGCAAATGAAAGCCACAAGCTCTTCCCTAAAGAGCTTTCCTTCATAAAAGCCTGATCCGGAGTGAATGTATGCATGGAAGAAACTTCACTAGATTTATAAATAAAATGGCTTGTACAAGTAAAGCTATCCATGTTCACCCTGTTCATTTTCACACTGTAAGTTAGAAGAAACAAACCCAGATAAGAAACAAGACTGGTGCTGGGAAGAAACATTACTCTGCTCACATTCAGGAGGTAACTCGTTCCTGCATGTGTATTCTTTCACATTACAATATCACTAGGGAGACGCAATGGTATGTAGAGGATAACAGGATCACAAAAATAATTAGGTTAGAAGAGATATCTCGAGGTCATCGAGATGTTACGTCAGGTTTTATAGCAAATGGTTTGGTTATTTGTGTAACAAAAACCCAGTTAGTGTAAAAATTATGTAAGACATGCATAGGCTTAAAAGAGAGAATCATATTTGAAAACCAAGATATTTGATAACGTGTTCTTTTTTATGTTACGTTTGCAAATCTGAATTCAGAGTCTACATTTCTTCAACAGCTGAGGCCATCACTAACAAGTTTGCAAAAAAGAACAGGGGAAAAATGCAGCTTTTGAACTTCTCTGTTCTAGATTTTAATGGATGTAACTAACAGGGAGGTCTGAAATCTTGGCAAGTGTTAAGCCTTTCAGTTCACCTCTGTATGAAGATGCTGCATTAAAAAATGCCACTTCGTTTGCATTCTGCAAAATCAGCACTGTGCTGCTGCAAAATTTACCCTGTTCTGCATTCAGGCTATGCACAGAAGGAGGAATGGAGGTGGATGCATATTCAGAGGGTGCGTGAATTGCATAACAATCCATATGATTTGCTCAAATAAAATCATATTACTAATTATATGCAACGAAGAACTGCACAAAGTTGTATAAAGATGTTTAAGGGCATCCAATGCTTACATGCAACCTCATACTTACACCTTCCGACAGCTTTTTTCAACAGCTGGGCTGCCTGCCGAGGCTGCTGAACGGAACAGTGATTGTCACGGAAGAAGAGAAGGCTACATCACTGCACAAAAGGAAAACTCCCGACAGCTCTTACAAACTTCTCTGTTTCTACTTCCACTCACTCCAGATTAATATCTCATTCTATTTTTTTTAGTTTTTTTTCACGACCTGAATCAAGTCAAACCAAGCCTTGCTTAGCCTGCCCCAACCAAATATATTCCACAAAAAGACGTAAGCAAACAGCATCTGTCTTCGTGTGTTAATCCATATAGTTTGTTAACTGTCAATAACTCCGCTTTGGTGATCAATAAACTTGAAAATGTAGAATTTGCAGAGAAGCAAAGGCAATTTTGCATGCACGGTACTCTATTTTGGATGCCACCTCTGTTCATTGGGAATTTTATTTCCAGAATTTTACAAAGCGAGGAATGACTGCATTGAACAAAGGAGGATTTTTCAACTGATGTAATGTGACATGAATTTTAAGGAATTGCAAAATAATTGAAGGTACAAATTAATTATACCAATAAGTGGGCAAATTATCTTCTGGCTTGACTTCACTGGCTTTGATACAAAAAAGGGCCAGCACATTATCCGGCTGTTTAATAAAGCTGGTAGAAACCAAAGGAAAAGAGAAAAAAAAATTGTGAACAACAACAAAAAATACCCCCATCCACACTGGATTAGGTATGTCTGCCTAGATGTATTTCCTACCTCTAGTGGTGGCCCAAAGTGGGTGTCTAGAGAAAAATGTAAGCATTCTCAACTTCCTATTTAAGTTTTTTCAAAAAAAAATACTCTTGCATTAGAAATGTTACTGTAATTGGCTTAATTTACCTGGAAAAACCCATAACACAACAGATTTTTGACTTCTGACTGAAAACTTGTAAGGAATACGTATTTTGCAAACTTGCTTATCTTTAAGTAACAGCTGAGCAGAAAAGGAACCAGCAGGTAAAGTCTCTAAATTACTATCTGTAATTTGTGATATAATGTGCTCAACTGTAGCCTTTGTTCAAGTGAATAGATGACATTGGCCTGTAAACATGACTGCTACCTTGTTTCCTCTGCAATCAGAAACTTAAAGACATATATTTTCAAAGAAATAAAAACTCACAATTAGTGTGTTAGTAATGTGAATTTCTAGTACATCTGAATTCTACCAAGACCATAGCAATGAGTTTCAAATGTGGGCCCCAGAGTTCTAAGCAGACTAATTTAAGAAAAAAAACAGCATGTGTATTCCCTTCTTAAAATAAATTAGAAAAAACCCCAAAACTAAAACACCTAACGCAAACTCTGGCAAGTGATTTGGGAAATGACTCCAGAAATACATTTTTGCAAACTCATTGATTTCAGCTGAACTAAGAGTATAAGCGCCATACTTTCTTAGAAAATCGTAAAGGGTGTTTATCTGTTACTGTCACACTTTAATGAACTACTCCGTGCTTCAGGATAAAAAAAAAACAAACACAAACACACTAGGGAAAGCCTGATGTTTACATCAGCAGAAATGTCTTTTTCATCAAAAGGGTGCAGTTACTATTATGTAACACAAATCACAAAAATCCCAATTTTTCTACCCTATCAGTTTCATAAAATCATGTTCCCTAAGGATGTCATTGATTAGTTGCACATGTTCTTTCAGTGACATCTGAAATACTTAATTGTTGGTTATCTTTTCTCCTTCAGCAAGTAAAATATAGTCACAAAATTGCAAAGGGACTTGTTCTGCCTTAACCTTAGCTAGATGCCATCATGCAGTGGAAAACAGTGCTAAAATATCACAGGATAATGCTCTCCAACAAGGGAGACATATAAACAGCATAATGATTTCCCACGAGTTTCCTTTTTAGAAAATTGTCACTAAAGCCAGGGTAAATGGTGACATATCTTCACAGAGGACACTGCGAAATCGAACACTGGCATTCTAGTTAGGTCCAAACCTACTCATCAGCCAATTATAACAGTAACTGAACATCTTGCTGAAAACCTGAACAAGACCACTTTGCTAACCTTAGGAGATCATGCCACGGGAATGCATCGTTTTCACAGATTTTTGTTACTATTGTTGTTGTTTTTAATGAAAAAATATTTTAAAATTAATTTCTTACAATCACCTATCACACTTTCTCAAGGTTGCTGGAACAGCTGTTGAAGGGGGAGAAATGAGCATGGGGAGCTGAGTTACAAGGTTTTTAAGAGTCCTTACAGACTTCTTCATTCAATCTGGTGTAGTTTGAAATGCTGTACTGTTAAGGTGAAAAAGTTCATGACAGTTTTTCCTCTCTTCACAGGGAAAGATGCTTCACAATACCTAATTCAGTGGTGCAGCTAAAATGGGGGAGAAGAAAATCAATACATTCCAGCTACAGTAAGTAGGCTGGAGTGTCAGTCTCCACTGGGACCAAAACCCACATCTTTTAGAACACTTTAGAGTCTATATTCTTCTATTAACCTGCTTTTCCTGAACTGCTTTACACAGTCCCATGAAATGATAAAAAGGTTACCAGAAGAAGATATTAACTAAAAACCAAGTAGACGAAGGAACCAGACTTCTAAGAGCAAGCTTTCCCTTTTTTTAAAGTAATAGCAGACACAATAATTTGTTATATTACCCATTGTGAAGAACTACGAAGAAACTCACTCCCTTCTTCAGTGAGGATGTTATTACAGGTTATCAACAAGAATTATTTCTCAGTAAGTTGTCACTTAAGTTGTCGTAGTAAGGACTCTCCACTTTTCATTACTACCAGAATCATTCACTGATGGGCAGTTTTCTAAGAACAGAAGGAGGTTATCAAACATGCTTAAAAGTCTGTATAAAGATACAAGAGGCAGGCAAACACACATACAATGACACAGAAGAAATGTTCCATAGGAAGCACCAGCTAGCTAACACTCCCAGGCTGCGTATCAAATAGAAGTCAACAGCATGAGTGCCATCTACACAGTGGAGCTTGAAAGGGAACAAGATATTGACAGTAAGTATTACATGCCAAAATACTTCCAACAAAGATCTCTAAGTTACTGTTTGGAAGTTAATGTATAGTCACAAAAGTTTTTTTTTTTAAAAAAAAGGCGCAGAAGGGAATTGAACCTCTGAACCTC